CCGTAATCAAAAGTGTCTGGATGCTGATGGTAACCACTTTGAGCACCTCTTATAATTGCAGAAGTCAAACGTGACTTGTATTCATCTTTTGTTATCAGTATATATTATTACAATTAGTACAGTGTTTTCCTTTCTTAAAATGTGTATACATTTTTGGGGCCATATCTATATGTAAAGTTACCTGACCGTGTTCCCTGGCTGAGTGCGGAAGGAGCGGCTGCCGCTCCTGATTTTGCTATGCCTTGGTGATGTTAGAGAGCAGTGGGGGAGCAGTCGGGGAGAAGGGGTCATGGCACCCTTGCTCTCTTGGCCAGTATGTATTATTGGAGGATGAGCAGCAAAACAGAGAACTCAGATAATTTCTGGGTCTGAAGGAGGGATTCTAGGACAGGGCTCAGGAGCAAAGTTCTCAGACCTGGCCAAATGGGGGTTGGGGGGGGGGCACTCGTCTTATCCACAATATGCATATGTGACAAGAAAACAGACCCAAGATCCAGCAACTGAGATAACGAATTTAGAATTTTGGATCCTGAGATAAGTAACTGGGCATCAGACTTGGGGAGAGGTGGGAAGGCAGAAGTAGAAGTGAAGACATAAACAAGGTCTTCCAAATAGCCGTCAGCCTGTACAGTTCTCTCCCTTTCCATTAAGCCACCATCATCTCTTCCCTGAATGACTATTCCACTCTTTCTGCTTTGATTATTGTCTCTGAACAGCATATGGGGGACCTTTTAAAATTAGATCACGTGGCTCACAGAATTCAAACCTCCCATTGGCTTACAAGGACCTGCAAGCTCTGACCCGGGACTCTGCCTCTACCCTCCCTCCTCTTACTGTCCCCCAGGGTCACTGGTCTCCAGCTCCTTTGGACCCTGATTGGCTCTTTGTGAGTCACCGGGTCTCTGGTCATCTTTTCCCCTCCTTGTCCTCTTCTTGGTTGATGTCTACTTATGTGAGATGCAATGTATTTTAGCAGTTAAAAATTCGTGCCCAACAGACTGCTTGGCCAGATGCTAACTTTACTACTTATCACCTGTGTGACTTTGAATAAGTTGCTTAAACTCAGTATGCCTCTATTGTAAAATGGAGTTGAACATAGTACCTGTCTCATGGGCTAGTTATGGACATTAAATGATACCTGTAAAGGACTTAGCCCAATGCCTAACATCTAGAAAAAATTCAATAAAGCTTACCTCTTGTTTTCTTTTGGGCCTCAGTCTAAACATTATTTCCTCGCAGAAATCTTGCCTGAGCCAGACCCTTCTTTCCTACTCCCCTCTACTGTGTCCTTTTTCACAAAACTCTTTGCTTTCATTTTATATATTTCTGATCGTTTGTGTGTCTATTTGTTTATTGTCTCATGCCCCCATTACACTAAACTCCATGAGGGCAAGGACTCAGCCCACTATATGTACAAATAACCAGCACGTTGTACAATGCCAGGAACATAGCAGACATTCAACAAATATCTTGCTGAATGAGAGACTGAAGCTGTGGTTCGGGACAAAGTTTGCGAATGCTCAGCGTCTGCTGGGAAAGCGTTGGCACCTCAGAGGGCCTGAGCTGAGCCAGAAGCCAGTGGAGTTCCACTACGCTACTTTCCAATACATTATCTTTACATTGTATTTTAAGATGTTGACACATCAAAATCAAATTACTGGACCCAGCTCAAAACTTACATTTGTATGCCAGGATTAAATGCTCTTTTTTGGCAGAAAAAATGTTCAGATTTGCCACAGGATCTCATCCAACCTGGAATTGGCCAGAATGACTGTGTAAATGAGATGCTCACGGCTCCTTTCTCCCCACCGGTTTGGGCCAGTGTGGGCCTGGGCAGTGACTTCCTGGGTGGTGAGCTCAAGAGACTTGTATTTTAAATTGGGCTTCTTTATGGACATGGCTTCTTTATTTCTTTTTTAATGCCAATGCTTGTCTATTTTATTTACACAGAATTTTCCCACCCAAGCTTGTTAGACCGTATGGAGAGCATTGTGTTCAGAAAGGGCAAATACACATAGCAGAAATGAAAATTTAAACTCCAACAGTATTTGGACAGGATAGGGTTACAGTTTGTGGCTTCACTAGAGACTTGGTCCCAAGATACCTGCTCCTCCCACCCCCTCTCCTCTTCAATTGTTCTATTGTTTTGTTTTATAGCCTGGAGGTGATTGGAGCCTTTAGCATCTGTGTGTGGGGGGTTATGCAAATTTATAATCTCCAACCGATTTTCCAGCTTGGAACTTTGATCTATTCCTTACACATTGTAATATCGCCTATTTTTCAGGGATACCTTCTTCCAAATCCTTTCTTTGTTTACTTATTTTGTAAAATCTCCCCCTCCCTTCCTGCACAACCAATTTTCACTGACAAAGTCTCTTACCCTGTCGAGGTTATCCTTTTAATGTTTCTAACTTAATCTAGATTTTGAGGGCAGTGCTTTTATTAAGGACCAAATCTTGGAAAGAAACTCACATTATCAGTATAACATGTATTTAAAACATAATTGAAAGTTTGAGCTGAAAGTGTCTGCCTTTTCCTTTACCAGTTGAACAATATCAGAGAAAGTTAAGGCACCTTATGCTAGTTGACTATATTGAAAAGCCTGTTGTCGGGGCACAGAGCTTTCAGGAAAAGTGACTATTCTGTAGGTTAAAGAAATCAGTAAGCTAACAAAAGGTAGCAGTGTTTTTTTGTATTTTAGAAAAAAATTCTATTTCATTCTTATGAATTACTCATTTTTGATGTGAAGGAGCCCAATGTCTAGAACATAATTGCCATATAGCTATTATCTCTTATATCTTAGATTAAAAAAAAAGACAACAGGAGACCAAGTACAAACAATGTGACCTAGGAGGAAAGTTACATCTTAATAATCGAAGTATTCTTATGAGTGCCATAAGTGATCACTGACATAGAGCAAGGGGTTAATGAGAATGGGTTGGCATATTAAATTAGAATGCATGTTGAAATCAAATTGCCAGCCTCAAGAAAATTGTACATATCACTGCTTCTGAAGAGAGAGGGGAATATATAACTATAAAGATATCCATAAATGACATATTCAGAATTCCTCCTTGATGGCCCCTTTCCAGAAGGATTGCAAATACAGATCTTTCCACCATGTGGTTGTATGCGCATGGGATGCGGTCTGAAAATACTGTGTTGACTCTGGGAGGATTGAAATCTGGGAATCCTGGATGTACTGGCTCAGGGAAACAGAAATGTTTTTCTTTGGCTGCTTGCTGTTCCTGAAGTTACTTAAATGAGACTCATTGGCTATTGATCCATATATATTGAGATTACAATAAAACAAAAGGAACCAGCTTCTCTTTTCCCAGGCTCACAGGACTGGCATTGTATTTCTTGGGAGAAATAAAATAAATAATGGTCTTGGGTTTGGGGAAATAATCTGGGCTCTGGATGGCAGCTGACTTATTTTTAAGACAGTGAGGTCAGAAAGAAAAGCATAACCCAGAGCGTGGTAGCCGTGCTCACTGGGAGAACAGCGGTTGCTCTTTTAAATACTAAGGTGGGTTCCCTTTCCCACTTTCAGGATCCAACCCCACAGCAAGGTGGATCAGAACCCCTCATCACGGTATTCACATTTCCCCTTTTAATGGCACTTACCTCATTTTGATTGTTTTTGTGAAAACCCTAGCTGCTCTGTTTAACTCTTTAATTGTGCCATGACATCAAGTTTCAATTTTCTCATGATTATTTTGCTTCTTTTTAAGCACCCATGGTGTGCCAGGCATTGGATAAAATCGAAAAGATACAATCCCTGGTGGCCCTGGGCTCACACATTGAAAGCGATACGACAGGCAAAATATCTTGTAATTGGCAGTAGGTAGGTAGTCCTCATGCTTTTTTCCCTTTTGAAGAAACGTCTTCATCTTTCTGAACAAGCCTAAGAAGTTCCCTAGATCAAAGGTGTCAAAAACCAGGAGGGTTTGGAACAAGTGTCAGAGAGCCGGTAAAGGACTCTCAGAGCTGAGACTGTGCTCCTCGCCTGCCCATGTGCTCGCTGCACAACTGCTCTCCTGCCTCACCTGGGCGGACTCACCACCTCCTCAGCCGCCACCTGCATCCGCCCGGTGACCCAGAAGCCAAAGACTCTCTTCCACACTCTTCACCCCCACCTCCCCAACACCTCCCTTGCCAGAGGACTGCAAACCTTTTAAAAAAGAGGCCAGAGCTAGGGGTTTTCCCAGCTCACCTGGTCTGCGTGGACTGACAGCCTCTGGGAGCCTCTGAACAAGGGGATGTCCAGGCAGGTGAGGCCCCAGCTCCTGGCAGTCCCCTGGAGTCCCCTCTCCCCCCAATTTTTCACGTTCTCTCTTTTCCACGCATCCAGCTAGGGCCTTCTTTGTCTTTTCCCCTGTAACACTGAAGCCCCCTGGTGCCTGGGCACTGCAGAGGAACGCCGGGCCCTTGGACTGGGTGGGATGGATGGCTCTGAGTGTGTGTGCACTTTACGGTATGTGTCAGAGTAATCTGGCGCGTGTGTGTTGGGGTAGAGGGGTTATAAATGGGGAGTAAAGCACCCCCGTTCTCTTCCTCCCCCCCCCATCACTTTGTGATTCCCTGAGGCGCAAAGCACTCTCCTGCCTCTGTCCCTTGCGATCAGCGGCTTGGGTACCCCAGGCTCAGGCCAGCTGGGAAGGCTCCCTCACACCCAGTCCACACCTGCACCCCGAAGCTTCAAAGTTGCGGAAAACAGTCTCGGGGGAGCGGAGGAGCGGAGGTTGAGGCCATCGTGCCCGAGGCTCTCCCAGCGGGAGAGGGTGCACCTGCTCCAAGAAGGAGCGGAGGAAGTGGAGGGGATCAGCTGCTGGGGGAGGTGAGGCGCAAGGTGGCTCCCTGCTGCCCGCGCCCGGCTCAGGGGACACACTCGGCAGCCAATGGCTGCGCAGAGGTGTACAGCAGATGGCGTCTGACTGCGCTGTTCCTTCCTCGTCCTCCTCCTCCTCTTGCTTCAGTGCTGAGGAGCCAGAGTCGCCGGGTTGCCAGACGCTGGAATGGGTGGTCTCCCGACACACACCACCATCTTTCTTGCGCTCAGGAAGCTCGGGGCTAGGTGGCTCCCAGAGGCTGCGGCAGCGGCTCGGGCAAGGCTGGTGAGTGCGGCGCTCTGCGCGGGGAACCGGCCCCTGGCCAGCAGGGGCAATCGGTGGCAGCAGCTAGGGCGGAGGGCGCACCGGAGGCACAGACTTTGCTCTTTCCTTCCAGGACAGCCCCCTTTGCCCCATTCTCCCAGCCAGAGGCAGGAACTTGCAAGCAGAGCTTCTCTGGTGCCTCTGGCTGGGGGCTGCAAGAAGGGTGGGCTGCCAGGGGCACAGCGCCGAGATCCCAGGGTTGGGCTAACAGAGATACCCCACGCAGAGACTTGGGCACAGACCTCAGGCAACTGACGGAATCTTCCGATTGGGGCGGAAGGAGCTCTGTTCCCTTCACTTCCAGTTTGCTTTGGAGGGTACTGAAGAAGGGAGCTGGGGTCCCCCCATCCTGCCCGAGGAGCCTCTGAGCCCAGGATCAGAGGGCGGGGAGTTCTGCGGGCTTTGCAAACAGGTTGACTGAGGGTTCCCTTTCTGTAGCGCTGACTGCGAATCTGCCAGTGGGCTTTCAGTGCTCCCGGAGGACAGCTGAGCTAGCCAAGAAGTTTTGCAGCTTCCTCTGATTTATCAGTATAGTGTCAGGAGGCTGCAGCAACAGTTTACATTTCTACTGTCCTGCGGGGGGTGAGGGGCAAGCTGGGGAGAATGGAATTCACCTGTCTGGTGTGGCATTACGCTGTTTCTTCAGAGAAAACTGGGAACAGGGCATGGCAGTGAGGGGCAAGGAGGAGGACACGTGTAATTTTTAAAGCGTTACCCGTATGCTCTTGTCACCTTTCCTTTCTGACATCTCTGATAATATTAAAGTTATTTGAATATGCCAGTGAAACCTCCACTTCTTCAAGTCCGCGGTTTGAGTTTAGAAGTTGGAAAGCTTGGAGTGTGTGTTTGGGGAAGGCAGCCGTTAAGCTCTCTCAATCCCTTTTTGAATACAAGGGTGGGGGGAATTGTTTCGGAGGAAGGGCGTGTGATCTAGTTGTAGTTTTTCTTGGAATCATTCTGAGCATCCCTTAGGTGATATTACAATTCACTTCCATTCCCTATGGTCAAGGTGGAGTTCGATTAAGAGCATGGTACCTCAGCATGTTCTGTGGAAGACTCCAGGGTTGTTTGGTGCTCTGTTCATTGCTAGGGTGGTCTGCTGATAGCCTTCCACCTTTCTGTGCATCTGTGCTCTTGTGAGTGACAACCTGGCTGGAGGAGCCTTCTTGGTATTTTCTAGGTGTGTACCTGTGGGCGCTCTGTTATCATGGAAATGGTAACCCATGCAGGCAGGGTGCATGCCAGCGAGGCTGTGGGGTATGTGTGTGGGTGTGCGTGCGCACATGTGCATCTGGTGTGTCCTTTTGATAGGCAATCTTTGGGTGTCAAAGTGATACATTTATCTACCAGGCAATGTCAGGACAGTCTGGGTTTGTTGGGTAGTAACTGCGAGGTGGTCATCTCCAGGGAAGCCTTCCTGTGCTGTAGATACACTACAGCTGTGGTTAAACCTTTGTGAAATTCACTTAGGAGTTACTAACCAAGTTAAGAAGTCCTGTCCAGTGTGAGCGAACAGCTCATGTATTTATTTGTGGGTTGAAAGCTATCTAACATCCCTGTCTTGAAGCTTCACTTTGATGCACCACTGTTTTTAAACCTCAAGCCTTCTTTGAAAACATAATGTGGCCAGTTCTCCTCTGTTTTTTGTGGGTAGATATGCCAGCTGAGTAGATTCCCTGGAATTGGCTTCCTACTATGCCTGGGCATTGTGTGTTTTTTACCTACCTTCTGGGAGTCCAGGACTGGAAACTCTTCATGCACGTTTAAGTGAAAAATAATTAGGGAGATAACTCTCTTTATCCTGTTATAACATACACAGGTACAATTGTTGGCTTCAGAAATATGGGATAATCTTGCACATTAGCACAGACAGTTCCAGCCATGCTGAACACCTTCAAAGCACTCAGGGTTCTGAACACGGGAGATTAATCCGTGATAGGTGCTTGGAGATGTGTGGTCCAGGAAAGGACCGCCTGCTGCTGGTGGAGTTTGATAGTCCATTTTGAGGGTTCAGAACAAGCAGGCTTAATTTCTATCTACCTTCATATTTAAATTGATACTTGAGAAATGATCTTTACAATGTTTCTTAATCCTCGAACATCCTCTCCCCCATTGTTTTTAATCAGCTTTTGCTTGTTAAAGAGTTGAAGGCTAAGAAGCTGAAAGACTGTTAGACAGGTAGACAATAATTACCGATCATAAAAACAGTGTAAACACAGACTCCACAATTTGAGGATTGACATTAATTAACTGGCAACTAAAGGTACCTTTCTATTCTCTGCTGAGTGTGCCTTTTGAGAGAAAAGAAGGTGAAGAATGAAAGAAAAATGGTACTGCTAACTGCTAAAATGTACCTTATCAGGACTTGAACCTTGTCTACTTGCTGCAGATTCTGTTTCTGAAGGAATAATACTTTCATTAATACATATGTAAAAAAACAACCCTTTTTCTTTTAAATAACAGACTGGAAAAGCAGAATAAAAAATTAGAAGCTAAGTTAGTGGAAGAGGACTGACTGTCCAAACAAGAAAAATTCCAAAGCATGTCAATTCATTTTAATTATACTTCATAAACTGAAGCTGGAGTCAAATGATTCCTTAAAAAAAAATCTTGCCAAAACTGCAATTTTGCTGTTCTGCACACCTTTATAAATATTAGGCATTAAAGTAAGAACATCATTTCAAAAGCTTGAATAGAATGATGAAGAATAGTTGACTGGTCCTATTGAGTTAGGAGTCAAAATGACAAATGATACAATATATTAAGTATACAATAAGACAAGAAGATTAAAAGATTCTAAGTAGTGATAACTATACTACTTGTTGGACCAAAGAACAGAATCATTAACAACATAGCTTCAGAGACTCCCTGCAAAGCGTGAAGGATGGATCTTTGACTAAGGATCTTACAGTACTAAAAACTATTTATATGCGCTAGGTACATATGCTTTTGGGTTTTTTGAATATGAGTTACACATAAGTGCTATATGTTTTTAAAAGAAGACTTTCTCCAGTTTATAACTATAAAAGAAGCAGCTGCATTCACTTTAACACCAGGCAGCTTCCTAAATATAATATAACACTGGTCCTTAATTTAGAGCTGTTACCAAGATTAATATCTAAGTGATAATTAACATGTTAAACCTGTAAAAGTGGAAGGATTTTAAACTCCACTCTTGATTTTAGAAATTGTGAGTTTGAGTGGATCAATGTTTTAGCAGATATGAAGTCTGTGGTACCCCATGCTGCCAAGATGTTAAACATTTTATTCACCCTTTAAAATTTCTCCATTAATTGGGATTATTTTGCTGTTTTTACTAGCATTTGCATAGATGGGTTTTCATAGCTAACAGTTGCTATTGTTGAAAGCAAGCCAAAGAGGATTAGGTGCAGTTGCCTGTCAGCTTGTATGCAGTTCTTGATTGAGAAGGAAATAGAGATCATAGTCACCGAATTCCTAGGATTACGCTTTCATCCTGAGCCTTATGACCTGCAGTGGGCCAGTTATACAAAATATAAATCCTTAGTTATTTTTTTAGTTGTAATCCACCTATGATTTGTTATGAGCATTCTATAGCTACTAGATCAAACAATTCATTTGAAGGGGAAAATAGAATATTAGTGAAATACAATTGCTCTGCGTCTTTTGGTAGACTTCTAGAATCAACCCTGAAGATGCTGTACAATAGAGTTTCACTGCTGGTGACGGCTCAGGCTTATTGCAGGGGTGGAGAGTTCAATCCAAGTTTCATTTGTAAGCAGAACAATGAAGTCACCCAGCGCATATAAGAACTACTATATTTTAAGAGTTTGTGTTTGTGATGAATAAAATACATTACATTTTTAAAAGATTTTTATTAAAATGTAGCTAACATACAATATTATATTAGCTCCAGGTGTACACTATAGTTATTTAACATTTATATACCTAAAGAAGTGATCACCGTAAGTCCAGCAACCATCTGACACTGTATGTACCATGCTATCACAATATTATTGACTATATTCCCTGTGCTGTACATTATATCCCCATGACTTAGTTGTTTTATACCTGGAAATTCGAACCTCTTATTCCCCTTCACCTTTCTTCCTCCCTTTCATAATTATTCAATTATAGTTGATATTTAATCTTATTTTATATAAGTTTCAGGTGTACAGCATAGTGATTAGATATTTATATAATTTAAGAAGTGATCCCCCTACTAGTCTAGTACTTACCTGTCACTATACATAGTTATTATCATATTATTGACTATATTTCCTACATTTTACTTTATATTCCTGTGACTATTTCATAACTATCAATTTGTATTTCTTAATCTCTTCACCTTTCTCATCCTGCCCCCCAAACCCCCTTCCGTCTGGCAACTATCAACTTGTCCCCTGCATCTATGAGTCTGTTTTTGTTTTGTTTGTTCCTTTATTTTGTTTTTTAGATTCCACATATAAGTGAGATCATATAGTATTTGTCCTTCTCTGTCTGACTTATTTCCCTTAGCATAATACCTTCCAGGTCTATCCATGTTGTCACAAATGGTAAAATTTCATTTCTTTTTATGGCTGAGTAATATTCTGCTGTATATATGTTCCACCTCTTCTTTAACCAGTTGTCTATTGATGGGTACTTAGGTTGCTTTTATATCTTGGCTATTGTAAATAATGCCTCAACAAACATACGGGTGCATATATCTCTTAAAATTAGCATTTTGGATTTCTTCAGATAAATAACCAGAAGAGGAATTGCTGGGTCATAAGGTAGTTTTATTTTTAATTTTTTGAGGAACCCCCATACTGTAAAACATCTAAAAACATCACTATTCATTCTTTAGGTATTTTTTGCAATTAATGGATTCTAAAAGTACATCTCTTTGCTATGATGTGGGACTCTGTAAAATTTTTTGAAGTTAAGATAAAAGAGGTCTTCAATCAGAAAAGGTTGGACATTGACTTCGATGTGATGAT